TCTCTCTCTGTACACATCTATATTATGTTGAATATAATTTGTCTCACCCAATACGTTTCTTTGTGAATTTTTGTCTCTAACTGAATTTGTCCGACCTGGGTGGATGATTAGCGGGTACTCTTGAGTGTTTTGCTCCGTCTTTCTTATCAAACACCTAGCTATTGTCATTATCTCTCCTTCTTCTCATTTTTGGGGGGTCTGTCATGTGTATGTTACTCTCTTATAAGACTTCTAATCTTCGGCACTTGTATGACCTTATTGTGTTGCAAGTGCCATGATAATAATAATAGTAATAATAATAATAATAATAATAATAATAATAATAATAATAGCTCGTCCGTCAATTTTGACGATGACCAATACATCCGCAGAGGAGAATATTTCTCCAACGAAAAACAGAAGATGTAGAAGAATTAAATGTTAAGATGACTTGCGGCTTCGGCAGAAGCTGTGGCCGAGGCCACGAGTGATCATCTCAACCTTCAATAAGTGCCGTGAAGCTCCCACGAAAACAAGTAACTGACCTGTTTGTTGTTTCCGAAGAACTTGGCGAGAACGAAAGAGGCAATGGAGGTATCGCCGTACTGTTGTACATGGCTGCGAGTGGTTTCCTTCTTGACTGTCTTGTACTGCTGCTCGAACGTCTCAGTGTTCAAGTTGGCGACATCAGTGTCTTCCATCCACTTCACGCTGAGGAGGCGATGAATACATAATATAATAATAATGTATGTGTCACGACACGGTGAAATCAGGTTCTCGTCCAAAGAATGAAACTGAAGAATCCAACGTTTATCCGCCCGTTGGGCCATTTCAACTTTTTTTTTTATATTTCGGCTCAACACCTTTATTGTCCATTTTAAAAATATTTCTGTGTAAATGTTACTAAATACGGTTGATCAAAAACACAAAAGAATATAAATGTGCAGTTTCCAAGGGTATTTAAGCTTGATAAGTCCCCAAACTGTTGCGGCCATTTTCTCGCTCATTTTGCGTCTGACACCATACGAGTCCACCTACTTCAATCACAAATCTCTCCCTTTCTTCTCGTAGTACGTGAATGGGTTTTTTTTCATCAAAAGAACGAAAAATGATTTATTATAAGATGATATCATAACCTCAATATTTCTAGGCCCAAACATTGTCGAGTGTCTGATTTCACTGCGTCGTGGCATCGGTATCAGGACACGGCGAAATCAAACACTGTTACTGTTAATTACTACATTGTATTTGAATCATATTTGAGCAGTAATTTGTATCATCTTAAACGTTGTTAGTGTGCCTTGCTTTTGATGAAACACATGCCTACCTCTTTATTATATACTATACATCTCTTTGGTATATATTATACATCTCTTTGGTATATATTATACATCTCTCTGGTATATATTATATATCTCTTTGGTATATATTATACATCTCTTTGGTACATATTATACATTTCTTTGGTATAGATTATACCTGCAGAGGCCTTGGTCGCCGAGGGTCATTGGCAGAATTAATAATAATTTGTTATTCTTAAATGTATATCACATGTGTATGTGTGTGGGTATATCAATATGGGTGTGTTTATGTGTGTGTGTTTATGTGTATGTGTGAGTGTGTGTGTATGTATGTATAGGTGTGTATATGTGCGTATGTATAAATATATATTATGATGATTGTGATTAT